AATGTCACACACTGAACCTTTAAGGTGAAAATGTGACGTAGTAGACCTTAAAATGTCCCCTGTGGATTGCTCTCTCTGTAAAACAAGTAAAAGTAACATCTGTCATGCACAGACTGCACTACATGAACCAAACTCTCACGGCACTGTGAATGTAATCATGCATGTTTGTTTTGTCACTATAGTTGTTGCATAATCTTCGGTTGTGTTGGCATCCTTAGCTTGTGGAGTCTTGTTTACAAAGAGTGAATCGGTGGCTGATCGTAAAGCCGGCGGTTATTGGGGGTTATTAACCTGCAGCGGTTTGAGATGAAGCACTTTCTTTTCGTCTGTTGCCTTACCGTGAACTCTGTGTGTTCAAGAGTGCGTTTATGAGCACGGAGACCTTTGGACCGGGCCTATGCTAAACCAACACACACTAAATGATTACAGGACTGTTATTGTGCGGAGGCTCGCCTGGCTCATATATTAGCCCGAGTATATAAACAAATATAAATAAGAATTTGGTGCTTCAGTTTCAGCGTGTACATTTACCTTGTAAAGAGAGCAAATACCCAGAAGGACACTGTAGTCAGATAAAGGAGATTAAAGGAGCTGGTGGAGAGCACATCAGGTGGATCAGTTTGCATATGGGTTATGTTATTGTTTGCACTAAGCGACGTATTTGCATGTATGAGGGTTTTTTTTAAGTATAAGGAAAGAAACACTCATAATCACCACCTGAACTAGTTGTATTGTTGTCAAGCAAACTCCTGACATAAAATGTACATAGTCTTAAACCCTGTGTAAACTCCCAGTGCTTTGTATCTCAAATACGCCTGCTCGTATCACTAGGCCTACTGCTGAAACCTTATGATAAAGATGTGTATCCTTTTTATGTTTGTCGCTTTCTGGGACTGTTACATTCCTTCCTTCAGTTTGCTATCTACTTCAAAACACTGTATGTGTCTGATAAGTGTTTGTGTACAAAGCATGTTGGTAGCTGGCTTGCTCTGTGTGCCAAATACCAGTTTTCCATGTGGTGTGCCAAGGCAGTGTCATAACCGCCCAGCCAATCCTCATTTCCTCATTCTTGTGTGCCTGAGGTCAATCCACAGAGAGCGTATTATGGTATTGTTCTTGAATCACTGAACCTGGGTCAGTGTGAGCTGCTTTCTCCCGGTTTTTCCACAGGTACTGAACAGTAGGTCTGCATTGTTTCCGCACTGTGTGTGTGTTAGTGTTGCTCGCTGTTTCATCATGTCCCCGTCTGAAAGGAGCTCGGTCTGATCAGTAGTTTGCACTGTGGCCTCCCCTCTAATGGAGAATTGGAGGTTTGGTTACACAAACATTAACCGATGCAGAGCAGGCAGGGATCTCATTGGTCGGGTTTAACCGTATTGGGTGGAGTCGAAGAAACAGAGGACAAGAGGACAACTTAATTGGGTTAAAGGATAAGGCTGAAAATATTCAGTATTTTTCCTTTTTGTCAAGAAATGCCTAACAATGACTTGACCGTGCTATTAAGTACTGTGTGTGTGTGTGTGTGTGTGTGTGTGTGTGTGTGTAGCCAAAGCCTGATGTGTCTAGCTAAATGGTAGAGCTAGCTAAAGCCTGATATATCTCATTCCTCTGTGCCATAGAGCTCCATTGTTGTCAAAAACTGAGCCGCACTGTTGCACTGGTGGCATAAACACACACACTGTAGTTTATTTTCTCTCAGCCCCACGTACACCGTCCTGCTGCTGGAAACACTCACAAGAGCACGGTGGCCGTCTTTTAAGGATTTACATCTCGGGTTAGAGCCGTAGGTAGGAAGAGCCGGCTGTGGCTCTGTTCATGGGATTTGTTGACAATAAGAAATAGATAAAATACCACCACTTTTATTATTTCAAAGGCAGAACAAAGGGCAAAATATGAATGGCAATGACTTCTCTTTTTTGTTCATTCACAACAATGGCAGTCATGATACGAGCTAATGCTGCTAGTCACGCAGCTAACCTGGCTAGCTCAGCACAGGAGTGGCTCCAGGATATAGTCTCCCTCTCTCCCGTCCCCGAATGAGCCAGAGAAATGTGTTTTCACTCCTCACGTTGAGGCTAAATGGAGCCCATTTTTGCCTCCAAGAAGTGTTTAACTTATCTAATCTGTTTTCCATCTTCTTCCTTTTCTTTCTAAACTCTCCTCCTTTTCCGGCTCACTCATTGTTTCTGCATTTCTTCCTGCTCAGGTTGTGTCATTTTTTTAAACAAAATAACATCAAAGTTAGCGTTTGATGCAGCTTGCGATAGTAACACACAGCACTGAAATGACACGTGCTAGTTGATAATTAGCCGAAATATTCATCTACAAATGTTACATGAGTATATTGCTACTCTACACAGTAAGATATTCAACCTTTGTCTTTGTTTGCTATTTTAAATGCCGATTGTGGCAGGTTGTTCTCAGGAAATGATATGTCCTACATTTCTGGCAGCAGCACGTTTTTTCATGCTGGATAAATAGATGTATTAATAGAAAAACTAGCCAGCAAATGTAAAAAAAAAAAAGAAAGAAAGAGGAACAATAGCCACCATGACTGAACAAACAGAAAGAACAGCTCCAATCTCATTCATGCTTAACCTAATAAACACAGAATACAGGAAAAAACAGACCGCAGTAAACAAAGAAAACACAACAGGATGTGACACATAACTTCTGTTTTCTGGTGAAAGGTTTAAAAAGGAAAATGACACATTTAAAACCTGTATTTTATCTTCTTTACTGCTTCCGTCTCTTCTCATTGTGGCTCACTTTAATGACAACTGAATAACTTGTGCTGTTTCCTATCAAGAAAACTGTTAAACTCTGATAATGTCCATATGCTCACACTCTAAACTCTACGCAGACACACATCACACCCCCATACCTCTCTATGGTTTAACGATGTGTTTGCTTTCACTGTTTTATTGCTGTATAATTTGCAGTGTGGCCTCTGTTGAGCTCCTGTCTGATTCCCTCCTTCCTGTTCCTCCTCTTCTTTTCATCCACTCCAGGCTGGGAGGCTGAGAGCTGCAGGGCTGCGACATGTGAAAAGAGCTCCACCCCTTGACCCTCTCAACTCTCAACCGAAGGTAAATCACATCCTCGCCTCCTCTTCCTCTCCTGTCATCTCCCTGCTCTTCTGCTCCTCTGCTGTCTCCTCTTCCTTGTTTCATCTCAATGTTCAGATCTGAACCTGGTTGTGTTTTTGCAGCAGAACTCACTTGAACTGAAGTTGTGACCGCGACCTGACACCCTCCTGCCTCGGGCATGCCTCAGGTAACGAAGGAACGCAGTTGAAACCTGCAGTCGTTGTCACCTATCCTCTCTGAATGACGCTCCCTGTGGTCCTCCTTTCTCACTTTGTGTCTGTGTGTGTGTTTCCTTCCTCTCAGCCGGGTATGAATGGGATGGAGCCTGCATTTGGCGAGGCCTACGGGGGACATAGGGGTCTGCTGAGCCCCTACCCTCTGGCCATGTCGCCACAAGGGGGCAGGACTGAGTACGACCAGGTGAGATGACACATGTGGGCACTCACGTAGTTTCCATATTTGAGTTACGATTTAATTATTATCAAGTACTCACAGCAATTAATTAACATAAGAATAGGGTCCACTGCACAAACTGTAGAGCACTGGTTCCCAACCTGGGGGTCCTGACCCCCGCTAGGGGTCGCTAAAGCTTTACAGGGGGTTGCATGGCCTTCTTGATTTTAAGGGGGTTTTAAAATATATATATATGTACAGTAGGCCTATATCTCAGCATTTCATTCATTTCTGTGAATAAAACTAAATGAAATTGTTTTAAAGTTTAGATCATTATTTGAGACATAAATGTCACAGGCTGAGGGCACAGTGACACGCTCTCTGCTAAACGTCCTGCATTAGAAAAGTAAGCAGTCAAACAACCAAAAGGAGCAGGAAACACAGCCTATTAAGTATGTTTAAAAATAAAACAAACAAAACATAATAAAGGCAGAGAACTATATAAGAGTTACTAAAAATATCAGGAAAACTCATCTCTGATTAATATTTACAGTAAATAATCTGCTAAAAATTCATCCAAATCGCTTGTTTTACACAAACGTCCGGCAGTTATTGTGTTCACTATTTGGGTTCATTGTGCAGTTTAACAGTTGTTTGGCACTGTTACTTACATGCATTGAATATAATATGAAATATCCCTAAAATATGTCATGGGAACCACTGCTGTAGAGATTAGCCAATATGAAGAAAATCCAAATCCACCAACATGAAGACAATCATTTCAATAATTCATGAGTTTCATCTGCAGCTGAACGGTTCATTTCGTTCGGCGCTTTGCAGATCAGCACTCAGTTCACAAACCCCATCAGCTCCTCCATCCACAAAGTTTAACAGGAGCAGATCTCCACTCCGTGTTGTTGTTAGGCGGCGGCTAATCTTCTCTGCCCCGGTAGCATCACAATAGCCCTTGTTAACACTGCTAACGTTGGCAGATGGAGGTGTTGAGAGGTCGCCGTCTCTGCTGGTTTCTCCTTGTGCTTATTCTGCAAATGGTTAATCATCAGGCTGGTTGTTCTGTGAGACAAAAGTTTAATGTTACATAGCTCGCACTGCATGTTCATATCATCCACGAAATACTAGAACCACAACTTTCACATGGCTCACAGTGAGACTTCCCAAGGGCTTTTAATATCCTTGAAAAGATGTTTGTTTGTTTGAGAACAGCAAATAATGGCCCTCAGTTTTCTGGGAAAATTACAAGCATGGTGGCTGGTGGCTTTTTCAGATTTATTTTTCATTCACACACATCCGGTGGAAAATTTGCGTTTTCATCATGACTTTACAATAATTTGTAACGGTCTTGTGATTTGTAATTTTGAACTATGTCCTTGGATTTCACCAAACAAGACCTCGAAAGTCATTGAAAATGTAAAGTAATGGGGCCTAGCAGACCCCAGAGTGGCCCTAATTGCAGTTAATTGCGTTCACCTGGTGTCTCAGGTATCAGTCTATCCAAGGTGTTTGTGATGTCACCAATCATGATCGTAGGCCCCGCCCCTTAAAAATCCAATTTTCAACAAACACTTACAGGAGATAAATGTTAACATTCTTGTGTCAGACTCTGCGCATACATCATTCTGCACAGTGAGGACCAAACATCCAACTGTAGGAACAAGAAGAAAAGACTTTAATTTATGCACCTTACAGTAGATTTTGATAACTTGAATAGGGGCCAGCTTCTTGACAGCAACATTCATTCAACTCATATGTTCAAGGAAGAAAACACAAGCAAGAACCTACAAGTTTATTAAGCAGGTTCTTGTAACGCCACGTTACAGGTGTCTTATCTGCCTTTGTGAAGCCGTATTGAGCTGCACGTGTTTAGCACTGTCTCTTAAGCATATAGGCATTCAGAAAGAGCTGTCTGTGTAGATAATTAAATTACAGATTAATAATACTAATGTTAACAATATTATTAAATTAAACAGTTTCACAAGCCTTCCTGTGATGAAGATGGCATGATTTTCCCGCAGATTATCCTTGTACAAGCTCCTGTAATTTGCCAGTGACTAAAATGCTGCCTGGACAGATGAGTTTAATTATAAAGCAGCAGGGTAAATATTTTATTACTGACGTCTCCCTGTAACATCAGAGCACACGCTGATATGTGACAGGATAAAAGTTAAAGATACAGTATATGGTAAGTGTTTTTTTCTTGTGTCATATTTAAGCATATCTCTGTCTTTTTTTAGAGTGTGCTCCTCATGCTGGGCTCCCCGGCATCGCCAAGGAAACGGCCCTTTGAGTTGCTAAGCGACCTGGTGGACGACGGTGGCTTCGGCGAGGACCTGCACCCGGAGCGCTGGGATGTGTCCGCGCTGGACGAGATGGCTCGCTACACCAAGCTGGGCCTCGGTGTGGGAGGGGAGCTGCTGGCCTGCTCCGAGGAGGCCGTCCTGATGGGCCGCTGGGGGAGAAGCCGGGAGGAGCAAGAGGAAGAAGAGGAAGAGGAGAGGAGGAGCAGGAACAGACACACAGTGCCGCCCGTCACCCAGGAAGTCCAGGCCACTGCTGCAGGAAGGGAGGAGGGGCGTATCTCTGTTGTCACGACAACGGAGAGGGAGTTGTGTGTTGCAGGAAGAGCGGCCGGAGGAGGACAGGATGGGGGGATGCCGAGGGAGCGTACAGTGGAGGTGTATCAGGTGGCACAGGAGGAAGAGGAGGTGGTGGCGGCAGCAGCGGCAGGTTTGGCTCTGGAGCACTGCAGCGAGGAGCACAACTACTCCCTGAGCCAGGGAGAGGAGCTGGGGGCGGGGCCCGGTCACAACTCCCAGACAGAGGGGTTGCGGGTGGGGGAGACGCAGCAGGAGGTGCGGGGCAGGGAGGAGAGTCAGGCCAAGACTGAGCTGGATCTGGAAGACGAGGACGAGGAGCAGGAGGAAGAGGAGGAGGACGAGGAGGACGAAGAGGGGGAAGACGGAGAGGAGGGAGAGGAGGGAGCGGAGGAGACGGCGGCGGAGGCTGAACTCTCCAGCTCCTCAGAAACTGAATGTGGTGAGTTCTGCTTTAAGTTTGTCTGTATCTGTGTGGCGAGGAACATCGCGGCTCATCACGCCGCTGCCAGCAGCCCGTCTGCCCACACGGAAACCATTTCAATCTGTCTCAGGTCCAGACGAGACCTCAGACTTGGTTGGCTGAGCAGAGGCACATTAAATACCAAAGTTGCGGGTGTAATTCCCGGACTACATACTGCTTCAGTGGCTGCAGTTTTACTGTTATGAAATGGCTTTGAGGGTTGGAGCCTCTTCATGTATTCAAATACCATCTGTAACCACCACACTGCTCTGTCTTTGTTCGGGGAGAGGGGGCTTGTAGTTGAACATGTTAAATAGGGTATGAAAGTTGGTACAGATTGTTAAACAACCGTTACAGTGGAAGTGAATCTTGAAGTAGCTTCAAAGGCAACACAAAGATGCCGGCTACAGACTGCAGCATTCAGCTTGTGTCTCATTAACGCCTCATTCCTCACTCCTCTTATCCACAAACACTGCGGGTATACAGTAGGACCAAAAACAATTGCCTGATCAGTTGAACCTGCAACTATTTTGATAAATGATTGATCGTTTGAGTCATTTTTCATGACATTTGCTTGTTTCAGCTTCTTAGATGTGAGGATTCACAGTAAACTGATTATCTGTTGACTGTGGTTCAGACAAAAAAAGACATCTGAAGTTGTCACCTTGGTCTCTTCAGTATTTTCTGACATTTTATATATGGACAGTTAATTGAAAAATAATTAGCAGTTCAATCAATAGTGAAAATAATTGTTAATGCAGCCCAGGCACACAGTACGCACGAGCTATTGTCCTGGTCAAAGCGACATTTTGTCCATGTTTGGATGTGGCCCTGTTTACAATTAATCTTATTAAACTTCAGATAACAAAAAGGCGTCATCAGTGAGCATTAAGCATATTCCAACAAAAAAGACAAAAAAGGTAAAAGAAAAAACAAATAAAGAAAATGAACTTGAAGCTGGTTTAAACATTATATAACTAGTAACAGTAATTTCACATGTTTCTATTTTAAAAAGAAGTTCATCCTTTTTTTTTTTTTTAAGCCAAGAACGACAGAGATGTAGAGAGCAAAGACGGATCATTTAATATTCCATATCTCCGACCTTCAGAGTTCCGACTATTCAAATGTTCATTTATTCTTTTTTAATAAAATAAGTCAAAAGACTTCACAAACATACTTTGGATTTTATAGAGCATAAAGCCTATTAAACATTAGCAGAAGAACTCAAAATAAATGATAATCAGGTCATTTATCGACTCTGATTCAATTACCGAGTAATACATACATTTCCTCTTATCGGCCCGATAATTATTGTGCTTCCTTAATTTAACACACACAGTCTGGATACGGACACATGCTGATACACCTTTTATACCCGTACATACACAATACATAGACGCTGTAGAGCTTCCGAGGTCATTTCAAATGAACAAACTCTAACTGACGGATTGCGTGTGACCGTTTGGGTGGCTGATTATGAAAAGAATGGATGTACACAAATTGGAAATATCAGTTCAGCCACAGTGACGATTAAAGCTTTTCACTGAATCACGCTGTAACCTCAGAACTCTTGTCGCAGAATCTGTGGCAGCCACATTTGCATCGTGTGCACACATGCACGGGGGAAGAGTTAGGTGTTTTTGCTGCCTGGGGGCAGTTGACCTGCTGCGATTGTACTGCTGTATTTTTAGACCCAATACATTTAAATTTGACTACTTTTTGGTCAAATCAGTATTTTCCTGAGCAGTATTTTGCTCATGCTGGTGTCTAAAAATATGGCTATGGTCCAGGGGAATGAATAACTTCCCCAAGGCTCTTCAGCAGTCTGCCTCTCAATTTTGACCTGCTTAACATATAGTGGTAGTGATAGAAAATGGATTGACACATGAGTTTTGCACATTTAATTTCATACCAGTAACAGCTGACCATATCATCTAATGTTAACAAACCCCCGACAAATTCTTGGACCTGCACCAAAAAAACACATTGACTTACTCTAAATGGACTAAAGTCAGTTTGCTTGTCAAGTGAAGTAAACTCTTTAATTAACCAGTTGTATAACGTCTTCTGTGTCTCTGGAGGACGACAACATTTGAACAGAAAACCTGCTTAAAGGACCAGTGTGTACGATTTAGTGGCATCTACCTGAACACCTCTGGCGTCTGTCTGCCGTTAAACCTGGGAATGAGAGGGAGCTGTGAGGTGTGTACCAGAAACTATTTTTCTAGCCCGCCCCGGTATTGGAGTTTGTCTGTCTCTGGGCTCACTGGTAGAAACATGGGCCGGCGCGCCGTCGGAAGGCCGACGCGGCGCCGCCCGCCGACCACCAGCAGCCCGTTCTGTTAGCATGGAAAACATCTCATTCTAAGGTTAAAAAAAACACATCAATTCTTATTTTCAGGTGATTATACACTAATTAAAACATAGCTATGAGTATTATATTCCATTTGTATCAGTAAATCATCCTGAATGTTAAACACTGGACCTTTTTAAAGCTAGAAATATTTGGGTGTTAAACAAGCTTGTAGGGTTTAATGGCCGATGATTTCGAGTTGCATAATGGGAATTGTAGGATCCAGTGTTTTTGGAGCTTAATGGATTCTAGGAAAGGACTAAAAGGCGGGATATCTGAGCCTCTGCTGCATTAGTTCTGGTTTTAATCTTTTGTCCCTTCAGTCGTCCATCTTTATGGGAGTACAATAATAAATCACAGGAGCATCCCCTTAGTTCAATTATTCATGAAGCTAGTGTGCGAATGAACATACGGACGGAACTGAAAACTGAACTAATTCTAAAATGACGTGAATTTGCTGGTTGCTGTTAGCTCAGAGCATCAGCTGAGGGGCTTAAATGTCACAGGAGATTTCATGTCCAGATCACAGGACATAAAATATAAACATGTATATTAGATAACACACATGTAAACTGACTTCACTTCAGATTACCATCTTTTCCCAGGCTCTCTCTGTCTGTGATCGTCCTCGCGCTAGATAAACAAATCTCAGGCTTCTTGTTGCAAGGTAATGGAGAGGTCGCTGGCTCGCTCTCAAAAGGCTGGTCTGGGTCATATTTCGACCGTCGCGAGACACCATTGTCACTCTCCATTGTTGTGGCTGTGTGTGTGTGTGTGTATGTGTGTATGCCTGGTAGAGCTATTCTTACCATTAGCCCATGGCGATTGCAAAGGGCTGTGTGATGGATGGAAAAGTGTGCGTGTTTAAAACTATAATAAAGCGACCGTGGAGCGAAAGATCAAATTGAGGGGAGAGTGCAGACAATGGTGCTATCTGCAGACTGGACCAGACGACACGATGTTACATAAGCCATCTGTGTGTGTGTGTGTGTGTGTGTGTGAATGTGAGTAATGGACGGCCCTGTCTGATGGCTAGGATAGGGGCTTCATGGTTATTAACTTTCAGCCTGATTTAATCCAGCTACTATTACATTATTTGCAACATGTTTTTTTGTTGTTGTTTTTTTGTAACCCAGCTCTGGTGGATTTGAAGAAGCGTTTCTGCTCCTGCTGGTGGAGCTTTGCATGTTGTATTATTTATGATACCATTATTCATGGCTGTGCACGCCTGAGGCTAATCTTCTGTGACGTCTGTGTGCTGGTGTAGGTGTCTGCCTCTGAAACAGGGTGCATGTATACAGTTTTAGCTGGTGGTGGCTTTGTCATTAGGACATTAGCATGTGATTGTGGATTAGGATTCACAGCATGATTTCATACCAGGCAAACGTGAACATTAATACCTGTCAGTTATGATTAGGGTTCATCTGTCATATTAACTTGAAGGGTATTTATCTTTTATTAAATATCTCATATATGGCTGTCAATGTTGTCCACCTACGTAATAATGGATGAGAGTTTGTTTTTCTTCATTATATATTAATAAAACAGCCTGGAGTATTGATTCTGTATTTGGATAATTGCATCACTGCTCCTCAAACCTCGAGTGATCCTGATGCAACATCTGAACCAGATTACATTCAATCATTGTTATTTCTTTGATCGTGTAAATGCTGTTTCTCAACCTTAACATTTTTTGCCGCGCTTAGAAAACATTTTGGAAATGTAAATGCTCTCGAAATTGAATATTTGGGTTCCCATGCATCCTGGAAAAGTTTAGAGACTAGTTTTGCAGTCATGGAAATACCTGGAAATAGATTAAAATGACTGAATATCCTGGAAATAATCTATGTTGTTGTCCTGGAAAGATAATCTGATTGTAAACCTGGGTGCGTATTTGGATTTAGTTTCGTTTAGAAGATGAATTTTCTGTAAAATAAAATCAATTCTACTGGATTTGAACTGTAACCCATGGGCTGTGGTCAAATTAATATTACTGCTGGAGGAAAACGGTAGTAAAGTGGAGTCAATTTGCTGGACACCGCAGCTTCGCTCTTCTAAGACTGCAGTGGAAAAATGGACTGTGGTGAGAACAGCCAGAATTGAGCTGACGTGGTGTGTCCCATTAACACTCACTACCTACCTGTAATAAACCTGAGACACTGCATCACCCTCCATTGTAGAAAGGAGGAATACAACTGGAGTTTTCCCGGCCTACAGGTAGATTATTTGACCGTTTCTGAGCAAGTGCCGTCCTGTATTAAGAAAAACTTAATAACTGGAAAATGTTTCCTTAAAAAGTTGGGAATCATGAAAATTCTAGAAAACGGGTATTAAAACTGTGTTTGTTGAACTTTAGTTGTGTTACTGGAATCAGAACGATTGCAGCAGAGATGAAACTAAATGTTGAAGTGAGATCCCCTAATCTCCCTAATCTGAGGGAGATGTTATGAAATATGTTATCGCAGGTCAATCAGAGTTTAGACAAACTACTTTTTGACGGTTCAGCAGATCCGTCACTTGCATACATACATATAGAAATTTGCAGTTCTGCTTCACGGTGAAATGAAAGCAGAAGATACGATCCGACACGATAAGAGAAGAGTCACTGGGTCCATGTTGTTGTTAACCCCAAACCAGGGACTTTCCTGCTCACCAGAGTGTAATCACTTTTGTTTTGGTTTCCTCAGTTTTCCTCCAACACCCCGCTTAAATCCGACTTCACAGTTTTGACCCACTTTTAGAGCTGCAACTATTAAATTAATTGGCAGCTATTTTGATATATTTTAAGAAAACATTCTCTGATTTCAGCTTCTCAAATGTGAATATTTACTGTTTTTTTAGTCCTCTGTGACCATAAACTGAATATCTCAGGACAAAACCGTTAGTTGCAGCCGTACTTGTGTGGTAAGGATCTAAGAATAGCAAAGCTGTCTGTTTTGTTTCCACTGAGTAATTGTTTCTCGTGTGAATTGAGACTTGTGGGGTAATGACTTTTTTTCCCATGTTCGTTGATTGTTGTGCCAGCTACACTGAAATGATAGAAAGCTAATTTCCAGTTTGTTGCTTGTAGATTTGTGACACAACAATTAAATCTTGTACATTTGCATCAGTCATCAGCACAAAGTCTGAATTCTTTTGGCTGTGTTTCCTTTCAGAGGTGGAGGCCGAGCCAGTGAGGCAGCCAGGCGAGCGCCCGTCGAAGCGTCGCTGTTTCTGGGAGTACCGACGTGCTCGAGAGACGGCCACGAAGAAGAAACTGGGCGGAGATGTCCACTGGTCTCTGTCCTGGAGCTCCAGCACTCTACCCAGCACACTGTACCGCAGAGAGGGTGAGGACACTGCCTGAAGCACTGACTTCACTATCGCAGAGCGGAAACGATGAGACCATTAATAGATCAATGAATGAACATTTTACTTACTAGAGTTGAAGCTGGAAATGAAAGTGAAGTAAAGATCCACTGAATGAGACCCTTTAAGCAGCAGGAGTCATTAAAAACGACATTCACACTGCAGCTCGAAGTGTCCCATTTCTTTCCTCTCATGTGACACAAATCGGATCGGGACCCTCAGGCATGTGCCCTACATACAACTTTTATGTCAAAATCGGAATGTTTCAGCATTTCCCTGATCAGTGAATCTTACATCAGGCGTAATGGTAGCGGTGCAGCAGTTCAGCAGCTTGTGTCCTCCTGAAGACTCAAATACAATCCAGTACAATAAAATCACAAACTACATTTACGCTGTCACATATTTATATGTTCCGTAACTGCTTATTCTGTCATTTTATTCAGATATTAAAAGCTAGGATGCTATTTTTGTGGCTGCTCTGTTAAATCAAATTAAAAAAAGTCTGGATCTGGACATCCATTTTCAGTTACAGCAAGAAAACAGTGGAATGCTGTCTAGTTTCGCACAATTAATCGAAATATTATCAGATTGCAATGTGCTGTAGTACTGTACTGTGGTGCTGCAGAGATACCCTGGCCTAGAAAACATGTTTGTTTGGTACAGACCCCAACAAATGCCACATTATCATGATTTTAATGGGATTTGTTTCAGTGAAAATACATTTTGCAGCCTTAATGTTGCTATCCCCACACAGTGTATTCAATCAGTCATGTTGTCACTAAGGTCATAATATATTGGTCTCATGTGGAATTATCAATTTTATGCTGTTACATGTGCATTGTACAGGAACAGCAGTAGAAAATAAGCAGTTATTGTAAATAAAATAATTTAAAACAGTTCTTGTTGACAGAGCATGGTTTAGATTCAGGATCATGACTAGAATTTTAAGACAAAGTTAGGTGGATCTGGTGTGTTTATGAGCATTAAAAAATATTGAACAAAAGAAGACTGAAAAGCTTGTACAGACAGATACTGAATTCATTCCGATCAATTTGTTTTGGTTTTTTTCCAGGTAAAAAAGGACGGCGTAAAGCTCGTAAGACAGACGCCAGCGACCTGACGCCAAACCCCCAGAAGCTCCACAACATCGGGGAGCAGCTGCAGAAGCTCAACGCTGCCATCGACGGCATGGGTCCGGTCAACGACCTGCCCGCTGTGGCCCGAGCCCGGTCCCGTAAGGAGAAGAACAAGCTGGCCTCTAGGTACCACACTCCACTTACTGCCCTCCTACATCCTCTGCACCGAGTCAGAGCCCAGGAGACTTGTGTATTGATTTCTGAGGCATGAGTGGGCATTTTGAGAGGTTTTCACTGTTTGTAAAGCGTTTTCAGAAAGAAATAGAAGAGAATCCTGCAGGGCTTTGTGGTTGGGTATCTGCAGACAATCTTTAGCCTTGTCAAGATTGGTTTTCAAATATGTGGCGCATTTAAATATTTGACCTTCTAATACTGTTTCTGGAGGACACGGAGAGAGAAGAATACATTGAGAAAAACATCTTATCATCGTGGAGTTAATTTGATTACGATGGAAAGTGGTTGTAATTCCAGTCTTGCAAGTGTCAGGAAGCATTTCATCTCTTCCCCCACGTGGAACACACTGTACCACGGTAAAGATGACCTTTTTAAAAAAAAACAGCCTCTGAGGAAACTACATACAACACAAATGATTTAAAAATGTAGGTCATGAGTGTATTTTTCTGTTGATTTTCCCTTTTTTAATGAGTTTACTTTGGACATGAGCATGATGGAATAGATTAAAGAAAGATGGAGGGAAGCAGAGGAAAACAACAGAGGAGAGAATGAGATGGAGTGAAGCAGGATGAAAGGCTGAATAGGAGGAAATCAGGGCAGGATTGAGGAGGCAGACAAGGAGTTTGATGAGGAGGGAGAGGAGGGTCATAGAAAGTTCATCTGTGGATAGAAGAAGGGAGGGGTAGAATTTGGAGCAAAAGGACATTATTACAGGCAGTTTGAAGAGGAAGGGGACTCTGGGAATATCTTATTATTCCAAACATATATTAAACACGACATAAACACAACATCAGATTGGAAGTTGAGGGGGAAAACAGGAGAAAGATGAGAAGAAGGCAGTGAAAGTAGATAAGAAGTGCACAGTTAAAGTCACTCTGTACTTTAATGTGACTGAGTTCATGTTTTAATTTAATATGCAGGTTTCTCCTCTGTGATGTTTCTCATCTTTTGTACTGTCATACTTGTGGATGCCTCAGAACAGATCAGAGTTAGCAGTGGGATTATCATAACCGCCTCCAGTCTGTCCTATTATTTTCTCAGTCTTAAAAAACAACTTGCCCGGGCCGATGAGGCTGCGTAGAAGAAAAACCCTCTGGGGAGCCTCCAGCTCGGCCGGACGCTCCAACAAACACAGTTAGCGGTAGAAAGATCCTGGCTACCGACCTAATGACTTACAGGAATACTCCACTTTCACTTTCAGGTTGATGAATGAATGAATTTAATCTCTGTGTTCAGCACAAAGACGAGTTGTTCAAAGTAGGGCTGCCTCCTACTTAAGATTCTCGTTTTTCCAGGAAGGAATTCAATTCAATTAAATTTT